TTATGCTGAAGTGTGGTTTTGGGTTTTGATGAGTTGTCCTGTTCCTTTATCTATGCGCCTTCTGGTAGCCCCACCCTGGCCAGGTGGGTCCTGACCTCTCCCTTGGCATTTGTGTGAGTCTCCTTCCCTTCCGGACCAGTGGGAAATAAAAGCGTGTGTGCGAGTCACTGTGCGAAAGGAAAAACCTCTTTTCAAGAAGTCCTGATCGGAAGCCAAATAAAAACTGATCTCCTCGGGAAGACGTTCCCCAGGGTGGAACAATTAAGTATAGTTTTGCAGTGTTTCTTGAGAAGGGGCGTTCAGAGGCGATCAAAGATTCCATCAAATGCTAGAATATCGTGCATAAATTATTAATGTTCCATATTTCAAAATGATGCTAGTAAACAGTATCTCTTTTTTTTTTCCTTCTCCGTGAATATGAATGCATTAGCGTATCTCCATGCCCCTCGCCTTGGAATTAATCATTCCTATCTATATTTGATGTTTACGCCGTTTCAATATTTATGGGCTGTGACGCTCCTTCATTGTTTACCTACTTCAGGGACATGCAGAAGCCACACAGTTCCTTAGCCAACACCGCTTTTCATTCATCCTTCTTTGGGCTTTTCTTTGGATGACCTCCAATTTGCCTACATGATTTTGGTAGGAAGGTGCCAAAAAATACATTTTGTTTCATCTGGAGTTTTATAGACGACGCTTTTCCTCAAATCGCATACACAAATAAATGTGATTTCCAAGGCATGAAAATTCAGCAAGGACTCCAAAGGGAAGCTGAGATACAACAATATGTCCTTCGAATGCTACGGGTAGATCTTAAGGCACCAGAAAAAAAGGGCATCTCAAAAATCAAAACATCCTAGAACGAGCACAGTGTTAAAAAATGTCATTTTTTTTCAGCCTAAGTCTATGATTTTATTGCAGGATTTCATCATTACTGTCAGTGGTAGGTTTTTCTCATTGCTTTACTGAAGTATAATTGACAGTACAGAGAGCTGCACATATTGAACATGTACGATTTGGAGAGTTGGGCATGTGCAAGGCTATTCCTCAGTCAAGGCCATAACATGGTCATTACCTCCAAAAATTTCTTCCCGGTCCCTTTGTTTTGACTGATTTTTTTAGATTTTGATAGGTTTGGGTTCAGTCTTCATAGACATTTTCTTCTTCTTTTGTTTATTTTGCTTTCTTTGCGAACACAGAAGGCAGAATTCTTTTACAAAAAGAGGAACAGCTGCCATTTCCTCAAGAGAAAACAATGGATAAAATGACCATTAAATTATTAAAGATAAGCACAGCACATCAGGTGCAGTGGTGCATGCCTGTAATCCCAGTGGCATGGGAGGCTGAGGCAGAAAGATCGTGAGTTCAAAGCCAGCCTCAGCAAAAGCGAGACTCTAAGCAACTCAATGAGACCTTGTCTTTAAATACAATATAAAATAAGGCTGGGGATGAGGCACAGTGGTCATGTGCCCCTTGTTCAATTCCTG